ACGAGGTGAGCTGTGAGTTGCCTTCACGTTTACGCGTGTGCCGGTCGCGGTCTGCAGTGCTACATCGCTGCTACGTTACTGCGGTCATTCTGGCGCCGTTCTATGCTCATAGTTTTGATGCCGCCCGCGCGTGGCCGTGCGCGTACCACTCACTCGCTCGAGACGCGCGCCGCCGTCCGAGCGTCTGGGCGTGTAGATTATGGGCAAGCGGACGCGGCCCGAGGAGAATGGTCCCGCCAGAGTGTACGGCAGACGCGCGCCGGCGCGATCCGGCAGCCCCCATTGTCGTGAGCATTGCACGGGCGTAGAGCGAGCTCATTATACAGCAATAGGAATATAATTCAATTCATTCCCATAATGTTTGCATGCGCGGCGATTGAATTAACTGTGTTTTTTGTTTGCCGGACCAAACCACGAGTATAAATATTTGCCGATAAAGCACGGTGTGCTGTGGTGGCGGTGCGGTGCGGTGCGGTGGGTTGCGGTGGCCGGTGGCCGTGCGCGTGCGGGTGCGCGTGCGGCGCGGTGGCGGCGCGGTGCGGCGCGGCGGCGGCGCGGTGGCAGGTGCCGGTGCGTGGCGAGTATCAGGGTGCGGTAACGGTGTGGTCCGCTGCGGTGTACTGTGGTGTGCCGTGGTGCGCTGCGGTGCGGTGATCTGCGTTCTCAATCAAACATTGATATGCATCAGCCGAACGCGTGATCCTGTGACTAGCTCTACCCATATATGTCGCCGTATAGGTTGGAGAAAGCACCAGCCTCATATTCCGCTCACGCTTAGAAGGGGGGGGGGTGCTATTTAAGGAGGCAGCCTTCCGAACTCACTCCATATCTATGACGGAAAACTCGTTAATCCTATTATATCATTCATCTGCGCAATATCATGCTGATTTACGTCATTCACTTTTCATTCATCATAGCGTCTGGGCGGTAGCTGCCGACGCAGCGTCATCCTTCAAGAATATAGACATCTCCTTTATTGCACCCACTATTGCTTTTATTACACCCAGATGTCGCGTGCGCGTGTATACACTCGGCTGCATATACGAGCGCCAGTACGGTGTTGTTTCCGCTATGCAGTTAAATTGCAACATGCCGCGATGTCGTGAATAACGGGAATTGTGAACTGTAAGAGAACTATGGCAGTGAGTGACGTCGCGTCCTTGTCGTGTCGCGCCGCGTGTGTCGGTATTCTAATTACGTGTATATAGGGTTGACGTGAGTCGCAGCAACGTCAGCAGTACCGGCGCTGGCACTGCATATATATCAGTATGGCAGCTTTAACCTTTAGATATATATGCTAAAAAGAGTCGCGTGTGATTAACTATAGCGCGCCCTTTTGCTGCGGTGGTGAGTTTGACCCATCGATCGCTGCCATCCTGCGTGACAGCGTCCGCGTGCTTTCTACGTAATTAACTCGCGCGGCGCACATCAATCGACATCATCGATTTCGCTATTTTTTTAAATCTTAATTAAGTAAAATTCAGCCTTTTTTTAAAATAATTTATTAACGGTAATGTCTTCTATAATTATATACTACACTACGTTTAAACATAGTTGTGCGCATGCGCGCGCACCCAAACGCATGTGCGCGTATAGCCGCACACATGCAGACACATGCACGCGGGCACAATTCCAGTTGTATACTTCTTCTGAAGCTACCAAACCGCAACCTATTAATGTGTTGTGTGTGTGCCCGCCGGCGAGCCTATGATATGCTATGCGGCGCAGGCTCATTCCTGCACCAATCCTATAATGTGTTGCGACCAACCTCTTTAGGCTATAAGTATTCGCTTATTGATCGGTCAGCAGTAAGGGAGAGAGAGAGAGAGAGAGAGAGAGAGAGAGAGAGAGAGAGAGAGAGAGAGAGAGAGAGTCGTGCGTGTGTGCGTGCGTGTGTGTGTGCTGCCGTGTGTGTGCGGCCGTGGATTTGATATCCATACCCAGTGACGATATGCTTTGGAATCGGCGCTGTGTGTTTGTTCATTTTCCTCTTCACGCGCACGTAGCGTAAGAAGATGAGAGAGAGAGAGAGAGAGAGAGAGAGAGAGAGAGAGAGAGAGAGAGAGAGAGAGAGAGAGAGAGAGAGAGAGAGAGAGAAAGGGCTGAACAAACTTATATCGCCAATACCTGATACGCGGTGAGCTCATTAATCCTGAACTGATTTCGACTGATTTGAATTACAAATAGAGCGAATGCTGTAACTAGTGCTTCTCTTCGGGCCAGCTCGCGCGGCACGATGCCAGCTTTTTATAGACCTAGACATTACCGGCAATTAATAATTGCAGCCAAAATCGATCTGGTGATGAGAGGCGTGTATATAGACAAGCCGGTTCTTTACACGAATGGCCGCAGGTGTGTTTAACGAAACAACAACGAAACGAAACTGTGGGCGAGTCGTGTATTCATACCGCTGATGAAATTACTCGCTATCTCCTCGTTTCTAAAGGCCCGCGTTCGTACGTTTAACTCAATAGTGCGGCTATTTCCGCATTTTCTCCGCTGCGTTAACTTCTTTGACATTTCTGTGCGACAAACATGCATGCTGCGACAAGCATGCTACATATACCAAGAGTGAACTGATGCCTCTCCAAATCCCTCTGCATACCGCTGTTTCGTCTGTTTTAAATTAAAAATATCCGTTTTAATTAACATAAATATAACATTTTGTGATGTATTACTTGCATTTTGCTTCCTTAGTATTCTCACCATGGGTCCCCGTCTGATTTTCAGAGTTGCCACAATTATTCCCTTAGAAAATCAATTGATTTTACCTCTTTCAGCGCCACCTGCCCTTTACATCAAGACGCAAATAACTTTCTATACGAAGAAAACTGATTCAGACATAAGCCAGCCGCACACGCGACATTAATTTTACGTATGTATACGCCATATACACGGTAATAGTCTGTCGCAATGACCGCTAGCGGACAAACCCATTTACCACGTGATTAACTTTCTTATAGCGACACGTGAGTGAACCATCTCAAAATGACCATATATTAACGTATAGGCATCACGCGTGATTGACGTGTGGCGTCGCGCAACGTACAATGCTTAAGAGCAATTTCTAAAGACTTGAAGTTTACTTCTAATTAAAGATATTTTTCGGTGCAAATATAGTATTCCGATACGTAAACCATTCAATTGCGTTGCAAAACGCGGCCCGCTGCGGCCACGCAATGTGCGTTTTGATGTCTATACAAATGACAGACGATTCTTGGCTGACGTGTATAACTTTAACGGTCGGAAATTAAAAATTGTCAATCGCCAAAAAATTGAATAATGAATCGGCATGAAGTATTTTTTTCGAGAAATCACAACGCCACCCGTTGAGTTTACATTGCAAGTAACAACATATGTGTTGTTAACTGAAACGTTCTTCCACGTTTTTTTTCTGTATAGAAAATATTTTCTATGACACACGTCGCGGCGTGATTTAATGGAATCTTCGCACATACCTCTCTCGGTCACTATCGTCGGCACTATGGTCAAGCCACTCGCTATGGCGAATGTAGCACGAAGTCTAGATTTATTAACCCGATTTTGAAAATGTTTAACCCTTTTCGTCCGAAAAACGAGGAATAAACTACAAAAATTCACAGAAAAGTTTTATTTTTATTTCATCTACCCCAAACCTCATTGTTTGATTTGCGCGAGTGGTACATTAACACGTAATGCTTGGCCGCAATTGGGGCAAGCGTGATACTAGTGCCAACCAACGGCTGTAGCGTAGAAAGCTGTAAATGGCGGTGGGCCTGCGTTGCAAACATTGTCACACTATTACACAGCAACAGTGACAATAAAACCGACAAGATCGAGTCATCATTTTTTCGTTTCTCGTTAGATAAATAATGGTATATAATGGCACTACGTGCCACGGCCGTAACTACAGCGGTAAGAAAGCATGGATTTAGTTCGACGAACTCTTCATGACTGCGGCAAAAAAATCCCCGAGCACTTTGCGATATTAACCATACAAACGAGTAGAAACGTTAAGTGTAACGAGTAGATCGCGTTCAGTGTAGAGTGTCATGTCACAGGTGGCATCAAACGAATTAGCGGGGCTGTATCCCATCTGTACATCAGTCTATGGGCATGTCTTGGAACAAGTTAGTCGGATATCATGGTACGTTGTTTTATGATAAATCTATGTGATCTAGCCTGTTTACAACAGTCAGTTTATTCAAATTCGTGAACGATGAGCAGGAACGACACGACATATAAACTGCCCCATGTCTCCAACTATGTATTATTAAAGTCTATCATGGCCTATCATGGTATTTTCTGTTCCTCTATAAGTTTCGACTTTTAAGAGATTCAACCTAGTGATGATGTGTATGTGAACGAGTGTTTGATAAAAGTATAAGAGATAGAAATGAACAGAGGAGAATTTGGAAAAGTCTAAAATAAATATGTCTGTTAGACATGATGCAGCACAAAGTAGATGGTTCAACACGTTCCAGTAGCATTTATACACCGTTGCAATTATCATTTATTATCCATTGGCAATGAAACATGTTCAGTAATTGACAGTATCAATATAAAACGCCTCAAAATAAAATCTAGACAATATAATTAGCTATGTATTACTAGTGCACGACGGAAACTAACCCGACTGGGCGTGGTCAGAACTACAAGTTTCCTAATAGAAGACGGGCATTAAAATGTATGCACTAACGAGCTAGTGCTGCACAGTGATTGTGTATGTGGCGACATCTACTATTCATTATTGTAATTACATTTACATCGCGATAATTCTATCGATGGCTCCGTTTAACCTTAATTATCATTTAACCTTATTATCTAATTTAACACCGAGCTTTGCCTAACCACATTGATCTAACACAGTCGTATTTCATACTTTCGAGCGCTCAAAGGAATAACCTACGTAGAAATATACAGACGCGCGCACACACACACACACACACACACACACACACACACACACACA